AAAAAAAAAAAAAAAAAATTTCCTCTTTCTTTTTAAATGTACTTTTACCCTTTATAAATATATTTTAGTGAAGTAAATTGAACCAGAACCCATAATAAAAACTTTTACTGCATTGTCGAACCTACTGCATTGTTCTACTGCATTGTCGAACCGCGACACACAGGATGATTCCGTGTGATGAACTGTTTAGTTTTTATAGAAGAGAAAAATCTTTATTATTCACTTAATCTCCAATTTTTTCGGCACTTTTAGTTACTTTAAAAAAGAAAAGAAAATAACGGTTTAGTCTTGCCAATGGTTTATTATTATTATTGAAATCTAAGTTAAAAAAGTATCTGCAGATAGTTTGATACTCTGAGGCTCGCACTGCTGTACTGGAAGGTTACGGCTACTGAGGTTAAAAGACACTTTTATTATGATGTGTTTTTAGTTTTCATTGTCTTAATATATCAGAATCTTTTAAAAAGTTTTTTCACTTTTAGGTAAAAATCAGATATGTCGGTGGTCATTGAAACAACAATTGGAGACATCACTGTTGACCTTTACTTGAAGGAGAGGCCTAATACTTGCTTGAACTTCTTAAAACTCTGCAAAATGAAATATTATAATTTTTGTCTGTTTCATAAAGTTGAAAGAAACTTTATCGCTCAAACTGGAGATCCCACTGCTACTGGGCGTGGAGGAGAATCTATTTTTTCTACTCTTTATGGTGCCCAAGCCAAATACTTTGATGCAGAGCTGAAGCCGAGAATGAAGCATGAAAAAATAGGCACACTGTCAATGGTGAACAACGGAGGAAATATGAATGGATCACAGTTTTTTTTAACTTTGGGAGAAAATCTCACGTATCTTGATGAAGTCCATACTGTCTTTGGAGAAGTTGCTGAAGGCTTGGAAGTTCTTTTGAAGATCAATGAAACTATATGCGATCAAAACGACCGACCTTATCAAGACATTCGTATAACCCATACAGTAATATTGCACGATCCTTATGAAGATCCTGCTGGCTTATCTGTACCCGATGCATCACCAGAGCCCACAAAAGAAATGCTCGAAACAGATTATATTGCTCCAGATGAAGAATTAGATGATACCAAAGGGAAGGACATTGAAGAAATTGAAGAAAAGATCAAAGATAGTGAAGCTAAAGCCAGAGCAACCATTTTGGAAATGGTTGGTGACATTCCTGATGCAGAAGTAAAACCCCCTGAAAATGTTCTATTTGTCTGTAAGTTGAATCCTGTTACTACATCAGAAGACTTGGAGTTGATTTTTTCTCGATTTGGCACAATTGTCAGCTGTGAGGTCATCAAAGATAAGAAGTCTGGAGAGTCTTTACAGTATGCATTTATTGAATTTGAGAAGGAAGAAGATTGTGAGAATGCTTATTTTAAAATGGACAATGTACTGATTGATGACAGGAGGATACATGTCGATTTCAGCCAGTCTGTTGCAAAGCTGAACTGGAATCAAAACAAAGTTGGTAAAGGAAAGCCAGGCAGGTTTCAAAACTTTGTTTTAAAAAGTGATGTTAAAAAGTCTGATGGTTATGAGATGATTTTTGACACAAATGATGATACTTATCCTCAGAGTAGCAGAGGCAAGAATAGACACCAAGAAAGGTCTCGTAATATGGAATCTTATCGCTCTTCAAATAAATCTTATGAAGATAAATATTCCTCAAAGTCTCATGGTGTACAGTTATCTGAAAAATCGCACAAGAAACACAAATCTAGAAGAAGCCGTTCTCCCTCTGAATCTTCTTATAATTTCAAGGAGCATCATTCAAGGCTTTCCCGTAAAAGTCCCTCCATTCAATCTCGTTTTCATCATAATAGTTCATCTTTTTCTAAAACCTCAGATTATCCATCAATTAAGAAAACTTCTAGGCAAAAAAGCTATTCTTCTGATTCTTCATCTTCTCCTGCGCGAACGAATCAGTCAACTAGGTATAAAGAAAAATATTCTAAAGATCAACATTATCAAAAATCTAAGCAATCATATGAAAAATCACAATCAAGTGATTCTAGAGATCAACATCACAAAAAACCTAAAAATTCTTACGAAAAACCGCAATCGAATGACAAAACAAAGACTAAAAGTTATGACTCTTCAGCCAGATATATTAGTTCGAATGATAGCAAACATGATTATCGTTCCAAAAGATCAATATCGCCTTTACCAAAAAAGAGGAAAAACAGGTCTTCATCATCAGATGAGGAAAGTTATTCAAAGTCCCATGGTTCAAGCAACTTTAAATTGAAGCAGTCTTCTAAATCACACTCAAAATCATCTATTAGTAAATGTAGACAGAAAACATCTGATTCTTCATCTTCTTCAGATGAATATGTTTCCAAAAAAAATTCTGAACCTAAAAGGCGAAATTATGAAGACCCACCAAAACATTCATCACGAAAAAAGTCACCTTCATTTCAGTATTCAAAATCAAATAGAAAATCTTCTCCTACCCGACATAAAGATAAAACAAGTAAACACAGTAAAAACGATAAATATGACCGTAGCTCAAGTGATTCAGAATCTTATTTGAGTAAATCGAAATTAAATTCATCAAACTATAAACTTTCGCATAAAAGTAAGCATAGAAGACGTTCTTCAAGTTAGTTCTGTTACCTTCCTATTTAGGCTTTTTTTTTAATGTACCTTTTGTGTAAAATTTTCTGCAACATTATCACTGTGCACCAACTTAGGTTAATGTAATCTAAATGTAAAACTCAATACTGTTATATCCATTTTTTGTTCCAGAAAATTATTATATTTCGATGGTTTGTTTGCTGTTATTTGAAAGAGTTGTGTTTATATTTTGTGAAACTGAGGTTTAAATTAAAATAAACTTTCTTAAATTATGTGTTATCTTAAATAAGGGTGCTTAACTTGTGACATAGCCAAATATGGCCCTGAAATGATCAGTCACTGTGTTGATAACAGTAAAAAGTATTTGTAACTATTTTTAAAACTAACTTCAACATAATTTAAAAAAGAACGAAAAAAAAAGTTGTAATTGCAACATTAAAAGTTTAAATGCTTATAACATTTCAATTCATCTCCAAATTTTATTTTACTGAAACATGTTAAAAACAAATTTATTTATAAAACAATCTTGCAATTTAAATGAAGAAAATCATAATACATATTAAAATTAACTTTTTCAAAGAGGAACTTAAAAACCTGTATAATTTGATTTTGTTAACAAAGACAGAGTATGCCAAACTTCAAATGTTCACTTAATTCAAAAATAGTACTTTGTGCTTATGATATTCTAAAGAATAATTAAATTATTATTGATTGATATAAAAATTGAGTTCATTGCAGCTCTTGAGAGATGAAATAAAAAAAATTTCTTCCGTAACCCTTTTCTGAGGCAATTTTATTGTAAGGTATTTAATGCATTATAGGAAAACTACAAAGAGAATTATAACTCTTTTTTTTATATTACAGAGCAATACTTTTTCTTAAATATTGTATTGTATCGAAATTTGGAATGATATATGTTAGAGAAATTAAATGCAATATAATTTAAAATTATATAATAAAAATTATTTTATAAAATGTTAAAATTTTTAATGGGTGGGGGAAAAAGATCTTTCTTGTTAAGCTTACTGCACCATTTATCTATATCAAGTTTTAAATTTTATTTTTATTTTGTAACTTTTTTTTAAAACTGTGGATTTATAAGAAATAGTCATTCACAAAAAAACCTGATTTTGAAGTTACGAAAATGCAGGTATACTTACTTTAGTATGAATCAACAAACACAGATGAAAATACAGGAATGTTTTTTGATATTGTTTTGTATTTTAAAAACAAATATACTTTTAATATCTTTTTCTGAAAACATTTTTCAATTTACTGATAGATAAATCTGTACTGATGTATTTCATTAGTTCTATTTTCTTTGAATAATTATGATGCTTTCAAGAAAGATATGATCAATTGAATTATGTATCATATTAACTATTTAGAACAATTTAAAAAAAAAAATAGATTAAGAGTTTTTAGCAACTTTTTTTTACTTATATTTATTAGTAATGTTTTCATTTATTACATATGTTTATATTGCAATCTATAATATTCAAAAGCATTCAACCAGGGGTCTGTCCAGGCCGAATTTACTACCTTCACAAATTCAACTTTAGGAAACGAAATACTTTTTCTTAAAATTTTATTTTTGTATCCCTTTAGAAACGATAAATCCATATTTTTGTATTAATCTTTTAATATAATTTTTAATTTTTCACAAATTATGTTTAAATTTTCACAAAATAGGTTCCTCTCAGAAAAACCTAGATACACAAGTTGCACTGCTAAAATAAATCAGAATGTCAGCTGAGCTCTTATTTCTGATTTATTTCTACTCTAAAATGCCTATAGTTAACTCCATTATTAATAGAGAGTTATTTTAATTTTTTATATTAATTATCATGTGTTTCTGACTTTATAATTTGTTTGTGTGTCAACTTAAATTTCATTACATCCAAAGTGTTAATTCTGATTCTTAGTATTTTCTCACCAATTTGTTTTTGCACCAGTCTCTGTTTTTTTTTTTTTTTTTTTTTTTGCATNTTTTTTTTTTTTTTTTTTTTTTTTTTTTTTTTTTTTTTTTAAGCATTTGTTATTTTGAATCAGTTAAGGCATTAAAATTATTCAAGGACAAGGTCCGTAAACAATTTTAACTTAATAGGAAAAAAAATAATTGAAGAAAAATAGTATAGTTTATTTAGGAATTAAAAATGGTATGAAATTATTATAAATAAAATAATGAATTAAAAATATAATTTAAACTTTCCTAAATTTAAATCTTTGAGGATAAAACTTCCAAGAATTTTTAAAAATTTCTATTTTAAGAACCACTGGCTGCATTTCACCACTCGTTTAAAAGTACACTCTTAAATAACAATTTTTTTTCATTCAATATTTTTGGTTTCTCTTATCCCCTTTGTCACACTTAACCATACCTTTACCACTTCCATACCTACTTTAACCATACCTACTTTGCATGTCGCAGTGTAATATATAAAAACATACCTGTATCCATCAGTTTCAATGATATTTGTGAGTTTTAACAATAATGATGATTATGAATGTACATATTTTGATGAATTAAATATAAAAATAAATACTATCAAAAATATTTAATCTGCTGATTTTAATGTTTTTATTTGAACTAAAATGTGCGTTATTGCACTGTTTGTTGTCCCCCACCTTTCCGCTGTCATAATTTCACACACTTATTTCTCCCCTCTGGACATTACATCATTTGTGAAAAGCCTCTAAGTATATTTTCATTTGATTTATTATAGCCTTATTTCTAAACTTGAGTAAACTATTCTTGAGTTAACCATTAAAAAGCAGAAATAATAACAATAATGATTAAAAAAAAAAAATTATAGAAATAAGGAGCTTGTTGCAATCTAACAGTGAGCCTCATTTTCACTATTTTTTTAGGAGATATTTTAGTGAAAAACAACAATTTTTGTGTGTAGGCATTAAAATATTGTGTAAAATTCCGTAAATTTGTTAAGTGCTGACCTGGAAACAATACTAAGGAATAGGACTCTTACATTTCCTCAAGCCTTCCAATTTTAATTTACGATGCAAGTAAGTATGTATTCACGCTTTATTTTATAGGTGCCTGTAATAGATATTTATATAATATCAATAGAAATGGCTTGGGAATTAATACAGATATGCCATCATTTAATTCATTACCAATGTTCTAAGAACGAAGCAGATTTCTATACTGTTTTATATTGTTTTGTTATCTTACACCATGTTAATAAAAGAAAGAAAGTGCAGTTTACAAAGTATTCTAAACAAACTGGAGCAACTCTGGATCGATGAAGGAAATTGACTAAGATGGCCTTGGCTTGTAATAGGCAGTAGTGCTGAAGAAGAAGTAGAGTTTATAAGACGTAGTCATGGCATTACGTTATAACTTATATTATAACTTTTGAAGATAAATTTAAATAATTGGATATATTTTTCAGACAGATTAATTTTTTTAATACTTACAAAAATGATTAAACCCCACTTAGTTATTTTATAAGAGATTAAAACACATTTTTTCACACAGCTTTATTCTAAGTTACTAATTGCGCAAAAAAAAAAGAAAGAGAAAGAGTTGATATCAGGCTGGGATGATTTATTAAAGAAAACAAAACAAAAAAAAAACACTTAGCAAGAGTGCGACAATTATCTTCATTTGTGAAATATTTTTTTGTATTTTATCTGTTGTGCTTGCGCGTTAAATTAAAATATACTTGACACGTGCAGAATTATTTTCGCTAAATTCATTTCAAACGACTGAAATGAAATTAAGATTCCAAAGTTCAGCTAAGTTTTAATAGAGGGCAGTAGCATCGACAGTTTCACGAGGAGAACCAAAAAATTCGGAAACGCGTGAAACAAATTCCGGCCGGGAACTTTTCTCTCAGTTCGGAAATTTATTTCAGTAGTAATACTATAATAAACAAAATTTTTTATGAATGATAAATTTTATTTTGTTGTGTTTTCTATTCTTTATTATTTTTTTGTTAATAAACGCACTCCAAGGGAACTCGAACTGAACAAAATTAATAAATAAATAAAATAAAAAAAGGAATTATTTTTTTCTACATATTCTGGTGTTTTGCAATTGTTTGGTTTTGTAGCGTACCTTCATAGCATAGTTATCTGATTTTCTCTTGAGAAAAATAATACGTATATACTTCTAAAAAAAAAGAAAAAAAAGTATTAGACTGAGTCATTATGTATTTGCCTAGTTCTATACTAATTAAAATTTTGTTTGCTAGTCATACGCTTTTTATCATAAATAATATTGCTTTCATAACAGTAAATTTATTTAAAAGTTTCCTTTTTTTAATTTTAATTTGATTACATGTTTATCAAGCAAGCTGTTCTACCTTTTCACAAAATTTTCAAACATTTATGCTCGTATGATTATACAGGGTGTACCATAAAATTCTTGTCGAAAACAAGGACAAAAAAGCAAACACATTGCAGATAGCAAATTAAGATTGAAGAGGGGAAAAATAAAAACATTTTCAAAATTTAATAAAATTAGTAAAGTTTATTCAGAAAGCCGATTATTGAAAACACCTCCTAATTTCACAAGATAATCTCACTGCTTTTAAATTTTCGTCTTCCTCACAGATTTTTTTCGATAGAGTTTTTCTTTCTCGTTTAAATATTAATTTACTACCTTAAATGTACTTTTTAGGTCTGTTAGTACAGAACACTCGATATATTTCAGCTGATAAAACTGTTCCAAATTTTTCTATGTTTTCGTGAGATTTAGTTCATGCCATATTTAAGCTAATAGTTATTTCTCTATTTGCTGGCAACTTTCATTTTTCGTTTGCACATAAGTTTGACCACAAACCTATATGAAGGGTCAGTCATGCAGCTGTTTTGGTACTGTAAACAAATATTGTAAAATCTTTTGAAGTGATACTTGTTAATAGAATCGAAACAACTAATTGTCTTTAAGCTTAAAATTTTTCCTTTTAGTTTTCTGGAAGAAAATCAATACAAAATTGAAGATAGAAGCTTTTTTGATTCTAAAGCCTACTGCATATCCTATTCACTAATCAGCATTTGAAAATCACTGCTACGTCATGGCAATAAAATTAATAATTGATTATGAAATATGCTTCAAAATTAAAATTTTCATTAACCCTTTGAAGCAGAATTAAACATATTTTTCATACTTTTTTCATTATTTTGTATTAATTTAGTTCAAAATAAGTGACAAATATTATGTTTAGCATTTTAATAATTTATTGTTAGGAAAAATACAGTATGAAACATCTGAGTCCTTGTTTGTGTTAAAGGAAAAATCTTCATAACACGATTTACTTC